AGGCCGCCTGGCCTGGATCCGCGCCCAGAATGGTCTGCGCACGGCTCGCCTCCGGCTGGGCCTCGCCCGTGACCAGCAGCTCCGCACGCGCCATCCCACACCAGTCGGCGATGAACCTCTCCAGGAGGTCCGTCCGAATGCAGGTGACCCTCCGATAGCCATCTCCGCGGGTCACCAGGGCGTCGTACTTGTCGACTCGCACGTCATCGGCCTCAAGCTTGACCTCGCTGCCCACGGGTCCGATGGTGGAGGGCTCTGCCAGCACCCAGACATGGCCTGCGATGGCGGGCCCAGGCCCGCGCGCTGGGAAGACCTCCCCGCCCGAGTCTCCTGCCGTCCCCGTGTCGGCGACAGCGGGAAAGTGAGCCCGTCGCCGCGCGAGAAAGCTGCCGCCGAAGAGGTCGTCCAGCGTGGTCACCTCACCGAACTTCACCATCACCTGCTCGGGCCGCCGGAGTTCCAAGCCTGCGGGCGATCTCCTCCGCCTCCGCGTGGCCCTGACGGATCGCCGCCTTGAGCTCGTCGCGCGTCGGAGCCTCCTTGAAGCGGTACGCCTGAGCGCCGAGCCTGGGCAGCCTGCCGTCCACCAGCAGCGGGATGGCGCGCTCGAGGCCGTCGGGGTCTGACCCGTCCAGGTACTCCGCATACACGTCCTTGTCGGGTGTCTGCAGCACCCACTGAGCACCCTGGACTGGCCACACCGCCAGTCTCTCATGCCACACGCTGTCGTCGCCGTACCACACCAGTAGTCGGGCCCCCGGCATCAGCGTCCTCCAGAGCTCCGAGTCCACGACGGCGTGCGGGGCGATCGCCATGGCGCCCTGCAGCACGAGCAGCACGAGAGGGCCCAGCAGCCGCAACCCCGGGCGAGCCGCCCCGCAAGCTGGCCCGCCAGGCCGGCGCCGAAGGCCTGAGGCAGCGCCCCCCACTGCGGGTCCGCCTCTTCGCAGGCCGCCGGCACCACGGCCCACGGCTCCCTCGGCGCCCGGCACCTGCACTCGCACGGCGGGCAGGCCAGCGCGGGGGGCTCGGGTGCCCGCAGCAGCCAGCAGGTCAGCGCCTCGTGGCCCAGGAGCAGGAACAGCTTCTGGAGAGGGCCTCCGGCCATCCAATGCCGAGGCCGGAGGTCGCAGGCTCAACCCTTTGAGCCAAAAAGACTTCGGAGCTTGCAGATGCTCTGACAGACATGCTGGCAAACGACAAGCCGCTCTCTTACCCCATTCTTGTGCACGCACTCCCATCATCGTCATCATCATCATCATCATCATCATCATCATCATCATCATCATCATCATCATCACCATCAGCAGCAGCAGCAGCATCATCATCATCTTCATCATCAGCAGCAGCAGCAGCAGCAGCATCAGCATCAGCATCAGCATCAGCATCAGCATCAGCATCAGCATCATCCTCCTCCTCCTCCTCCTCCTCCTCCTCCTCCTCCTCCTCCTCATCCTCCTCCTCCTCCTCCTCCTCCTCCTCCTCCTCCGCTACTCCTCCGCTACTCCTCCTCCTCGTCCTCCTCCTCCTCCTCCTCCTCCTCCTCCTCCTCCTCGTTCTCCCCCTCCTCCTCCGCTCCGCCGCTCCTCCGCGCCTCCGCTCCTCCGCTCCTCCGCCCCTCCACTCCTCCGCTTCCTCCTCTTCCTCCTCCTCCTCCTCTCCTCCTTCTCCTCCTTTTTATTCTCCTCCTGCTCTTTCTCCTTCTCCTCTCCTCCTCATCCTCTTCTCCTCCTCCTCCTCCTCATCCTCCTCCTCCTCCCCCTCCTGCTCCTCCTCCTCCTCCTCCTCCTCCTCCTCCTCCCTCCTCCTCCTCCTCCTCCTCCTCCCCCTCTTCCTTCTTCTCTTCCTCATTTTCCTCCTCCTCCTCCTTCTCCTCCACCTCTTCATCTTCCTCCTCGAAGTTGGAGTCTTCTCCGCATCCTTTGTATACTGATCCTGTTCCACCCCTTGCTGCTCATATCATGATAGTCGGTGTGACTTACCCATACGTCCGCCGCATCCTGTTTCCTCGGTCCTCTTGCCTCCTCCTCCTCCTCCTCCTCATCCTCCTCCTCCTCCTTCTCCCTCTCATCTTCCTTTTCCTCATCATTTTCCTCCTCCTCCTCCTCCTCCTCCTCCTCTTCCTTCTCGTCCGCTTCCTCATCCTCCTCCGTTCCCTCATCTTCTTCCGCCTCCTTCTCATCCTCCTCCTCCTGCTCCTCCTCATCAGCAGCATCATCATCACATTTCGCTTCCTCGTCCTCCTTCCTCCCAATCCCCTCCTTTCCTCATCATCATCCTCTTCCTTATGTTCCTCCTTCTCCTCCTCATCTTCCTCGTTCTCGTCCTCGTCTTCCTCCTCCTCCTCCTCCTCCTCCTTCTCCTCCTCCACCTCCTCCTCCTCCGCTCATCCTCCTCCTCCTCCTCATCCTCCTTCTCCTCCTCCTCCTTCTCCTCCGATTCCTTCTCCTCCTCCTCGTCCTCATCCTCAGTATCCTCCTCCTCCTCCTCCTCCTCCTCCTCCTCCTCTTCCTCTTCCTCCTCCGCCCCTCGTCCTCCTTGTCGTCATATTCATCCCTCCTCCTCCTCCTCCTTCTCTCCTCCTCCTCCTCCTCCCTTTCCTCGTCCATCCTGCTCTTCCCCCTCCTCCGCTCCTCCTCCTCTCCTCATCATCCTCCTCTTCATCCTCTTTCTCCTCCTCCTTCTCCTCCGATTCCTTCTCCTCCTCCTCGTCCTCATCCTCATTATCCTCCTCCTCCTCTCCTCCTCCTCCTCCTCCTCCTTGTCGTCATAGTCATCCCTCCTCCTCCTCCTTCTCCTCCTCCTCTCCTCCTCCTCCTCCTCCTCCTCCTCCTTTTCCTCATCCATCCTGCTCTTTTCCCCCTCCTCCGCCTCCTCCTCCGCTCCTCCTCCCTCCTCCTCTCCTCCTCCTCCTCCTCCTCCTCCTCCCCCTCCTGCTCCTCCTCCTCCTCCTCCTCCTCCTCCTCCTCCTCCTCCTCCTCCTCCTCCTTTCCTCATCCATCCTGCTTTTACCTCCGCTCCTCCTCCGCTCCTCCTCCTCCTCCTCCTCCTCCTCTTCTCTCCTCCTCCTCCTCCTCCTCCTCATCATCATCATCATCATCATCATCATCATCAGTTTCCTCCTCCTCCTCCTCCTCGTCCTCCTCTTCTTCCTCCTCCTCCTCCTCTCCTCTTCCTCCCCTCCCTCCTTTCTTTCCTTCTCCTCCCTGTCCTCCTCCTCCTCCGCCTCCTCCTCCTTCTCCTCCTCCTTTCTCCTCCTGCCTCCCTCATCCCTCATCCCTCATCCCTCCTTCTTCCTCCTCCTCCCTTCCTTCCTTCTCCCTCCTCCCTTCTCCCTCCTCTCTCATCCCTCCTCCTTCCTCCATCCTCCTCCCTCCTCCCTCCTCCCTCCTCCCGCCTTCGTCCTGCCGCCTCCAGCTCCAGTCTGTTCGGAATGTTTCCTTCGGCTAGTGTGCTGGAGGCTTGTGACCAGCCCTGCCCAGTCGTTGATGTCGGCTCGGCTTAGGATGCGCTCGGGAGCGGGATCGTGCGGGCAAGTGGGGTGATGACGGTGGGGGGTGCTGAGCTTCATCAGAGTCTATGCTTCCACTTTTGGCTTAAGCATTCACCTTACTTCTGCGCTGGTTGTGGCCGAGCGGCCACCGTGGTTCCCAGGCTGTTAATTCAGGAGTGCACCGAACGCTCCAAGAAGGGGTTGAAGAATCTCCAGAGAATTAGACGGGGGCTGTTCTCAGGCTACAAGAGTCCAGCGACCGCCGGTTTGGAGACCGCCACCTGCCACATTCGGCGCGACCAGGCGCGTCGGATGGTGCCCTGTAGGTTCTGAGGCCACGTGGACTGTGGCGCCCAGGACACTCCCTCCTCCCTTCTCCCTCCTCCCTCCTCATTGTCCAACTCTTCCTCCTCCTCCTCCTCCTCCTCCTCCTCCTGCTCCTCCTCCTCCGCTTCCTCCTTTTCCTCCTCTTCCTCCTTCTCCTCCTCCTCCTCCTCCCTCCTCCTCCTCCTCCTCCTCCCCTCCTCCTCCCCTTCCTCCTCCTCCTCCTCCTCCTCCTCCTCCTCCTCCTCCCCTCCTCCTCCTCCATCTCCTCCTCCTCCTCCTCCTCCTCCTCCTCCTCCTCCTCCTCTCCTCCTCCATCCTCCTCCTCCTCCTCCTCCTCCTCCCTTCTCGTCCTCCGCTGCCTCCTGCTCCTCCTCCGCTTCCTCCTTTTCCTCCTCCTCCTCCTCCTCCTCCTCCTCCTCCTCCTCCTCGACCCCTCTCCAGGATTTGCTGTTCACATTGAGCCGCGTTTTGGGCGGTCCAGGGGCCTGGTGGGGGTCCCTGGGGGGTGGAGATCGCGGCGGAGACGGAACAGACACTCCATCGTGCTCGTTTCCACGGCGCGGTGAGGCCTGAGCAGCACGTTCACCGCTCTCCCTGCGTTCTCCAGGCCTCCCACACGGGGCCCGAGTGGATGAGATCGGGAGATCGCGTCGCCTGACCGATGCATCGGCGATGCGGCTCGATGTAGATCCCGATCCTCCCCGCGCCGACGACGCCGATGTGTCGCCGACGTCGCGGATGCATGGGCGATGCGGCGGCGATGCGGCGCGATCCTCTGGCCCCATCCGCCTGGGCCCCACCTGGGAGGCCCGGCCTCTGCGGCCTCGGCGGGGGCCTGCCCCCGTGGGCTCGCGGGGGGCGACGCCCGGATGGGGCCCGTGGGCCGCCATGTGCCCCCCGCACGTGCCCTCGTGTGCCCGCGTGCCCCCCCACGTGCCCACGCGCGCCCGCGCGCGCCCGCGTGCCCCCCCCCCCACGCGTGCCCGCGTGCCCGCGCGTGCCCCCGGGCCTCCACGTGCCCCCCTCCCCGTGTGCCCCCGCGTGCCCCGGGTGCCCGCGCGCGCGCGCCCGTCGTGCCCCCACGCGTGCCCCCGTGCTCTCGTGCCCTCGCTGCCCCCCCCCGCGCGTTCTCAGGGGTGGGTGCTGGCCTCGTGCTCCCCCGGGGGAGGGCGCCGGGCAGGCGCCGCTCGCACGCGCGCAGCGGCTGGCGGACGCGGCCTGGCGGGGCCTCGGCATCAGCTGGCGCGAGTGCGGCGGCGACCCCAGCGGAAAGGGCGACTGAAAACGAGCACTGTGCTGGGAGGCCTGCAGAGAGAGGGGGGGAGGGAGGGATAGACGTAGCACCCCGCAGATGCGGACAAGGAGTGAGGGGGCCGCGGGGACGTCGGCGGTCTACGAGGCTCCGGGGAAACCCGCCGCGGGCGCATATTTTCCACGAACTACACAATGAGCCCGCCGCAGGCGCTGATTGCTTTTGTTCAAGACTGTGTGTGGGTCACGGGTTGGATCGCGGGTGGGTCGCGGGTGGGTCGCGGGTGGGTCGCAGGGTGGATCGCGGATGGGTCGCGGGTGGGCCGCGGGGTGGGTCGCGGGTAGGTCGCGGGGCGGGTCGCGGGGGGGACGACGCAGAACAACAACAACAACAACAACAACAGCAACAACAACAACAACAACAAAAACAAAAACAAAAACAAAAACAAAAACAACAACAACAACAACAGCAACAACAACAACAACAACAACAGCAACAGCAACAGCAACAGCAACAGCAACAGCAACAGCAACAACGACAACAACAACAACAACAACAACAGCAGCAGCAGCAACAACAACAGCAACAATAATTTAAGACTGTTCGCCCTTATTTGCTCGAGTGTCCAATAACGCGTATTTCCCAAACCCTCGATACCCGCCCTCTGCAACTTCGATCGAACCCCTTTTGGGGGATATACCTTTCTTCCCTGCAGGGCGGGCCCCGGCAAGCGGCGGGGCGTCCGCGGACCGTCGGCCTGGCCAGCGGCAGCGCTGATCGGCGTGGCGGCCGCGGACCGTCGACCCGACCCCAAGAGGGACGGACAGGGGACCGACCACGACGACGACGACGACGACGACGACGACGACAACGACGACGAGCCTTTGTGTGGTTCCTTTTTTTGGGATGCCTGCAGGGAGCTCATCGGGCCAGGAGGCAAGCTCGGCGAGCGCGAGAGGAGCGGGCTGGTCTCCCACCTCACGAACGCGCACTGGCCGCAGGCGAGGCTCCACGGCGCCAGCGGAAGCTGCCACGCCCGCCGCAGGTGCCTCTGTCGCATGATGTTCGAGTGCCCCATGCTTGCGGCCCAGCGGAGGGACTCGGTCTCGCCAGCGCTGACGTGGAGCGCCGTGCGGGTTCGCCCCCTCGGAGTGGCAGCAGGGGAGGACGTTGCTCGGCGCTGGTTGTCAGCGCCGCCGCCCCCACAAGGGCCTCGCACGGACGCCATGAGTGTCTGGAGGACATGCAGGCCGCCCGACGTCAAGCCCAATGGCAAGTTGTGCGTGGACGGCTCGTCGGTCGACCCGCAGTTCTACGCCTGGGGACACGCGGGCTGGGCTAATGCTCAATGCGACGACGACGGCAGCCTCGTCGCGGGCGTCTACGTGACCGTCAGGAGGGCCCTCCAGCCACAGCAGGCTGCTCGTGACGGTGAGGACTTCGCGGTCTGGAAGACGGTGAACTACGCGGGCCCTGCAGTCGAGGAGGTCCTCATCGGCTGCCACGGCACGGCGGAGAGCCAGCACAGGGAGCTGGCCTATGCGACGGGCCCGACCAAGGCCAACGCCCACCCCTGGAGCAGGAGCCTCGCCGCCGTCGAGCCTGGCGGCTCCAGGGCGAACAAGGTGGCCGCCCACGACAGCAGGCAGGCGGTGCTCGACGGGCGACTCACGGAGGCGCAGTGGCGCGGCACCCTGCACGCCCGCTGCTCCGCCGAGCTGGGAGCACGGCCGCACGCCGAGGCGGCCGTCGTCTGGCAGGACATCGCGGAGAAGGACAGTGACGGCTTCCTCGTGTCCGACGAGAGGCAGCGGGTGAGGTTCGCCGACCTGGAGGAGCGGGCCGAGCAGCCCACTGCAGGCAGGCCGACGGAGCAGCAGCCGCGCGTGGAGAGCGTCCGCTCGGTGGCCAGCGCGGTCGGCCTCTCCATCACCACGGCTGGCGTCTGCTACCTCGGCCACTCCCTGGCGTACGCGCTCTGCGACGCGGGCGAGGAGCCCCAGGAGCTGGTGGCGTGCAGCAGGTGCGGCGCCTACATGGTCCTCGGCGGCCGCTCTGGAGGCCGCCCTAAGCTCAAGGAGCCATGCATCGGCGAGAGGGCCTTCGGGCAGCGCAGCCAGCGCCGCCTCTGGGCTCGAGGGCTTCATCCAGGTGGACGGCCACGCGGAGGAGACCAGCAGCGCAGGGAGAAAGGTGCTGAGATCCCCGCGCTGAGGCTGCAGGGGCCACTGCCCCCGTCGGCCCAAGAGGCTTTCCTGGCCTGGCTGGGCCTCGAGGGCGAAGAGGGCCCCCCGCCAGCAGGTGGCAGTTCAGCGGCAGCGCCTGGATGTGCAGGCGGCCGCGAGCAGGGGCCAACGACACGGCCGGCGGCGGCGGTGCAGCAGGTGGTGGCGGGCATCGGCCCGCGGGCCGCCATGCTGGCCGCGTGCGGCCTGGTCGAGCAGGGCCTCGCCGAGCGGGCGCTGGCCGCCAGCTCCACCGTGGAGGACAGCCGCGTCCGCCCGCGGCGCGGCCGCGGCCTGAGCCCTGGCGGCGAGAGCTCGGGCGAGTAGGCTGCTCGCCTGGAGTCGCCTTCATGGCCCCGCGAATCGAATCGACGGCGACGACGACGGCGACGACGACGACGACGACGGCGACGACGAGCGAAAGCGAGAGCGAGAGAGAACGACAGCAGGGCCACGAAGGGCACGAAGTAGGCCACGAAGGGCGACAGCGGGGACACGAAGGGAATGCGTATGGGGCCACGAAGAGCGCGAACGAGCGGGGGCCACGAAATGCAGATAATGTTGCAAGCAAGTCTCCAGCGAGAGCGCGACTCCAGAGGGCCGGGAGAGCGATTCCTTAATAAATTGCAAGGAGGTCCCAAGCGAGAGCGCGATTCCTGAATAAAATGCGAGGAAGTCTCGAGCGGGAGCGGGGGTCCTGGCTAAATTGTAAGGAAGTCTCAGGCGGGAGCCGTTGTTGTTGCAACCCGGGGGCCACGGGCCCAGTGTGAGCAGGAAGTCTTTCCCTGTCAAAAAACAGGGTGCGAGCGTCGAGGGGCGCACTTTGATGAGAAAAACCATATGCACCGGTGGGGGGATCAACAATAATTGTTTTTCATAAATGAGAATGCAACAACAACAACAACAACCACAACAACAACAACAACAACAACAACAACACCAACAACAACAACAATAACAACAACAACAACAACAACAACAACAACAACAACAGCAACAGCAACAGCAACAGCAACAGCAACAGCAGCAGCAACAGCAACAACAACAAAAACAACAACAGCTGCAGCAACAACAACAGCAGCAGCAACAACAACAACAGCAACAATAATTTAAGACTGTTCGCCCTTATTTGCTCGAGTGTCCAATAACGCGTATTTCCCAAACCCTCGATACCCGCCCTCTTCGTCTTCGATCGAACCCCTTTGGGGGGATATACCTTTCTTCCCTGCAGGGCGGGCCCCGGCAAGCGGCGGGGCGGCCGCGGACCGTCGGCCTGGCCAGCGGCAGCGCTGATCGGCGTGGCGGCCGCGGACCGTCGACCCGACCCCAAGAGGGACGAACAGGGGACCGACCACGACAACGACGACGACGACGACGACGACGGCGACGACGAGCGAAAGCGAGAGAGAACGACAGCGGGGCCACGAAGGGCACGAAGTAGGCCACGAAGGGCGACAGCGGGGACACGAAGGGAATGCGTATGGGGCCACGAAGAGCGCGAACGAGCGGGGGCCACGAAGGGCAGATAATGCGGGGCCACAGAAGGCAACTGGGCCACGTAGGACAGTGAAGGGGCCACAAACGGCGACAACGGGGCCACGAAGGGCATGCACATGGGGCCACAACGGGAGCGACTCCTTGGTGCTTGGGTGTCGGGAGCGCGGCGCTTGAGAAATTTGCAAGAAATTCCAACGCAAGGGCGCTATTCTTCAGTAAATTGCAAGCAAGTCTCCAGCGAGAGCGCGACTCCAGAGCGCCGGGAGAGCGATTCCTTAATACATTGCAAGGAAATCCCAAGCGAGAGCGCGATTCCTGAATAGAATGCGAGGAAGTCCGGGGCGGGAGCGGGGGTCCTGGCTAAATTGTAAGGAAGTCTCAGGCGGGAGCCGTTGTTGTTGTAACCCGGGGGCCACGGGCCCAGTTTCTTTGCCCAAAAAAAGGGTGCGAGCGTCGAGGGGCACACTTTGAGTGAGAAAAAACAGTATGCACCCCGGTGGGGGGGGTCAACAATAATTTTTCTTCAGAAATGAGAATTCAACAGCAACAACAACAACAACAACAACAACAACAGCAACAACAACAACAGCAACAGCAACAACAGCAGCAGCAACAACAACAACAGCAACAACAATCCGCATCGCGGAATCTCAATCAGCCACGCACCCAGGGACAGTGAATGACCGTTCGGCCCCCTCACTTTAAAATGTATGTGTATTGATGTATACATATATATATATATATATACATGTATGTATACGTATATATATATATATATATATATATATATATATATATTACAGAGAGACACAGAGAGAGAGAGAGAGTAAAAGAGAGAGGTATACATAAAGAGAGAGAGAGAGAGGGAGAAAGACAAAGAGAGAGGGAGGGGGAAAAGAGGGGGAGAGAGAGAGAGAGGGAAGGAGAGAGGGATGGTGGGCAGAAGGATGGCCAACGCTCCGGACGGCGGGTGTCCAGGCGCGGAGCTACAAACGCCACTTGGCGTGCCCACCTTTTGTGGTGGGAGGGGCCGCAGGTTCGAAGACGAGGGTGGCCAGAAAACCTCCCCCCCAGGCGCGGTTTACGATTGGGGGGCGAAGTGGGGCATCGCGACTCGGGAGTGACACTCCTGATCTACGGCGTAAGAGAGCCCCGGGAACAGCGCGTTTTAGCGCGCGCGTTTCGGAGACCTTGCATATAGACGTCGCTGAGGGGCATCGCCTACCGCAACCCGCGGCGTACAGTGGGGGCCCATGCCAAGAAACACCCTGCTTGCCTCCAGGGTGCTCTGGGTTTCTTGTGTTTCGATGGTTTT